AAATTACTGTTTAGATAGTTTGCTACTTCTAGAATATAAAAGATAACTTTAAAGCACAGTTTTAGCAATACTATAAATAAAAGTAATAATAATAAAAGTAAATACAAATGAAATAACTTTCAACTAGTTTACACTTATATATATTAACTAAATTATTAATTATTTTCGAATAAATTTATATTCCCAAGAAGCGAATATTTTTATTTCTTTAAAAGTACTAATATTCTTTTCTTCTATAAAATTTGAACATTAAACAATATTGAACATTAAACATTAAACAGCTTTCATGTCCGTCGCAACTATCGTTATAATTATGATTTTGTTACTTTGAATAAAAAGAAACAAAAATTTTACTAGCGACTGATGATTTTAAAAAAAAAACCTAAATTATAAATGATAAAATTTTTGAAATTATACCCCCATTAAAATTTAATAATTATTTATAATATGCATTTTACATAATTATAATTATTTTAATTTAATTTAATAATTTAATAATTTAAAAAATTAACTTTTAACTTAAGTTAACTTTAATTCAACTTTAAACTGAGTTACTTTTGTTTATTAACTTTCAACTAACTTAATTTTATAATCATTAATTTTAACTTACTCGTTAGAGTAAAAAGTAAGAAAAAAACTCATATAATCCTGTGCATTTCATGGTACGAAAATAGTTGTGTTTGAACTGATCTGAACTTCATTCTTCTATAATGTAAGGGAAGAGAAAAATGGTAATAAAAATCAATACATGGACGACAAGGATAATAAGTTATGTAATTTACAGAAAGCCTCGAGATCCCATGTATAATTTCGATGATAAACTCATAAATATTGTTGATGCTAAAGTTATCATATACCTGTTATGAAATCGAGGCCTATGGAAATACTATATTGTTATATAATCATTAAATTAATAAATATTAATAACAAAATTTCAAAAAAACTATATACCTATTGGGTGTTTTGTCTCATAACGTTAAAGATGTATCACATCTCAAAAAAACATTATCAAAAGTATAAAAATTTGAATTACTCTATTATTATATCTGAATATCTGTATTTTGAGCACAATTCTTTAAAAAATGATTTATTTGTTTTGTTAGATTTGATATTCATATAAAATCGCATTTTTTGTATTATCTACAGCATAAAATTGCACAAAATTGCACAATATCGCTGCAAAATAGCTAAAACATCTTTAAAAAAAAAAAAGAAAAACATGCACGTTTTCTATTATATACACTATTAAGTACGATTTGGTGATAAATACATCTCTTTAAGTATAAATTCCTTGTGTTTATTGATGTAAATACTTTTTTGATTATTAATGTTTTGACACATGAATTTATGCATCGAAATATATATGCATTCCCATTTGTATGTATGTATGTACGTATGTATTTTTATAGACACATACATTCATGTGTTAAGACATTAATGATCTTATATGCAAATCGATAACATGTGGATATACTTAGCGCGTATATTTTGAATAATTAAATTTCTGTCCTATGAAAGAAATTAGATGAGACGTAAGGATTGTTCAGGATAGAATTGGTATAAAGAAATAATTACACATTTATTATACATAAATATATAATACAGAATAATAAATTTTATTTTTTTCTTACATATATCACTGTAGAGAAATGATTTCACATTAATTATAAAAATGATACCGAATATTTTATTTTTTCCTTACATATATGTGTATACATACATACATACATACATAGATACATACATACATACATGTACATAAATAAGAGAAGGTAAGGTAACTTTCTAAGAAAAAAAAAGCTATTAAAACGCGAGATCTAGCAACTGAATCATTTTACTCCGTCTGTGGTCCATCTTACTCCGTTTTTTTCTTAGATATATTTTTCTTGTGTATACACGTACATAAATAAATATTTCTCACTTTTTTTTACGCGTATATACATATATATATAAAAATATATTTTTTTAATTTTTTTTTAATATTTTTATATTTTTCTAATGGAATGAGAGAGATTTAAAATATGACATAATGACAATTTTCCGATGTCAACTGAGTAATATTCTCTCTAGACCGATTCCAAATTCAAAATTGTTATTTCGCGTATTATAACAGCACTAAAAATATTTGCATCGTAAAGATTTGAATGCCGTTGTAATACAGGAAAGGATCCACATTTTGTTTAAAATATGATTTAACAATTAAACATAGATTGACACATTATAAAAGTCTGTACATATATATTTAATGTCTACCTTTTGTCTCGATGTCATATTTAAATAATAAACTTAAAACTTTAAAACTTAAGTTTAAAACGGTGATTTAATTAATTAAATTTTTTAGAGACGCAAAGTTTATGATAAACATTTTATTAAAAACTTTTTCGAAATTTGTATAATTAATCACCTTGTTCAATTTTAATACATATATTCTAATATGCTTGCTATTCATGTTGAATACAATTATCTTAGGCCATATTATATTTGAAAAGCAGAACAGAGTAACAGCTAAAAACTAATCGTTGTACTATCATATTCAGATCAAACTGTTCTGCTTGACAATGAATACATATTACAGCACCTTAAAATATAAAAGAAGAATCAAAATGAGCATATAATTGAGATAAAAGAAGATGTAAAAAATCATTTCGATCCTGCCGCACGTCAAGCGTTTCCGCATCCTGTGTAATAAGAGTTATAACACTTATCATACGTATTTATTTCTTATTATGTTGATTGGATCTTATTAATTGGTTTAAGATGCAGTTCGGTCCAGATCCCTATTCGTAAAGCTTATACAAAATCAATATACGCTACATCACATATACACATATATATACAATATATCATTTTTTACAAAGATTTTTTTCTTTAAACTTCTAAAAAAAAAATAGAATAACAAACTTATACGTTGCTAGACCTGTAATAAGAACAAACTGCGCATTCGATCACATGTGCTTTACTTACTTTAGAAAGAGAAAGAAATCTATGATAGGCTTACCTTCTCTTTCTAACTCTGAGATAGTGAGATTGAACTGCACTAGACTTCTCCCTTTCTTCTACCAACTGCTTGGCCAATCGCTGAAGGAAAAAGCGCAGCAGGATTTGTGACAATTGGAGCAAAAATGCTGTCCTTTTCTGATACAGAGTTCAAACTGCGCCTGCGATGAACATCTCACTTTCCCTTGGCGGCCGACTACGTGACCAATCGCTGGAGAGAACGAGATTTACAAAGAGAAAAGCTTGATGCATGTGCAGTTACTACTCATTGCTGAACTCTATATCTTTATTCTCCTCGTTGTAAATACGTTATTTAAGGAAGCTATTCTTGTTCCAATTTTAGCTAGTTCACTATCTGTTATCAATTTTAAAAGTCAGCAAAAACATCTACAACACTAGCACTATTGCTAACGCTTACATTTGCATTAATGTTAGCGTCGATATCAGCTTTTTCGTCATCATAATCATCAGCGTCAGATGTGAGAAAGTCTTGAACATCGTCAGCTCGTTCAATATAGGTATCTGCTAACACGTCAGTCTTTAATGGTAAAGAAGTCGTTCTTCTTATTTTCGGTGTAGCCTTGAAAACATGGTACACTTGCCTTAAAATATAGGGAAACAATGGTCGCTTCTCTTTCTCAAACTCAATGCATTGATTGTAAAGTTTTACGAGTTTTTTAGGTGTATCAGAACGTATTTTTTTCTCGTCGGGTTTTAAACCGCCACGTCCTACATTATATAAAATAAACAGTTTATCGGTTTTATAACCATACGGTAAATCACGAGCAAATAATTCATACATTACTATACCAAATGCATATACGTCAGATTGAAAACTATATGGATAGTCTTCTTTAAACCTTAAAACTTCCGGAGCCATCCAACGAACTGAACCAGCTAGCTGGTTCTCTAGCTCTTCTTCTAACTCTTTTTTAGTTTTTGTAGTAGTCCTTTTAGTCTTTTTAATCTTGTCATCAGTGCCTACCTTTTTATTCTTTTTACCCTTTTCAATCTCTTCATCCTTTTCATCATTTTCATCATTTTCGTCCCTTTCATCCCTTTCGTCCTTTTCGTCCAATTCATCTCTTCTATTATTTCTCGGTTGTCGACTCTTCATTACTGCAAGGCCAAAGTCACCAATCTTCACGTGAAGTCCATTATGAAAAAAAATATTCTTACTTTTTAAATCCCGATGATGAATATTTCGGGCATGTAAATAATCCATGCCCTCTGAAATTTGTTTAAGAATTATCACAATTGTAATCATTTCTAATTCGTCCTCTGCGACATGCAGACGATGATATAAAGAGTTTCCTTCACACCATTGCGTAATAATTGCTAAATAAGGTTTAACAATACAAGCCATAAATGATAACACATGCATATGCCGAATTTTACGTAAAACGTTCACTTCATTTTTAAACATTTCTATTTCTAGTTCTGTAGGAACTTCAATATTAAGTCTTTTCACGGCCACAGGTCCATACCAATCAGCTTTATACACAGTTCCGTAAGTTCCCTTTCCCTTTTCATCATCGTCTTCATACGTGATTTCTTCCGCTACAATTTTAAAATCTCTTATTGAATCTTGACTGAAAATACTATCTTCAGATTCTGTATCATCAGCACATGAATCATCTTGGTCCTTTGATTTTTGATGTCTTTTGTTTCTTCTAGGATATCGCAAAAATTTTGTTCTTGTAGTGACTTGAGTGGTCTTATCAATTGTGGTTGGTTCAGTGTCCTGAGCAGGTTTTTTAATTCGTCTCCTTGAACTAATACTCGGTACAGGTACTGGTGGAATTTGAATAATTCCTGTAGCTGGATTATTAGCCAATAATCTTTCATAATAAGCTGTTCGTCTTCGTATATGTTCACAGAGTAAAGACGCATAACTTACACATTTTGTATGAAATTTTCTATTACATGCTTTGCAGATAAATCCATAAAGAACACTCTTTCCACAAACATAACAATAACCTAACAAAACTTTGGTACCCGCAAAATTATGAGTCCAAAAAACTGGAACAGGAAATGTTTCCAGATACTCCACAAACACTTCCTTACATGGCAAAGTTGATATGTCTGTATCCCAAGAAATAAAATATGTCATACGTTGCTTAATATAAGCTGCACAGTCATCCAAAATCAATTGCCGACGTTCCATAGCTTTTGATACTGCATTCCTTAAAGTAAGTCCTTCCTTTACCTCTATAGTGGTATATTGACTATTTGGGAGGTGTATCATTAATATAGATATCTTTTTCTTCTTCTTAGCTTCTTCAGCTTTTTTTCTTAATTTCTCCAATTCTTCTATTTTTTCCTGTTTATTTTCAAGTTCTATTTCTATACATTGTAATTCATGTAGTTTATCAGCTCCTTCCTCATATTCTTGTAAATACTCTTTCTCAGGAAATTCTTCATCTAAAACAGATAGCCAGCGATTAACAGCAGTTTTACAACATGTCATAACTTTTCCTATGTTATCTATTTCAAATTTCAATGACTTTTTTTCTTGAATGAGGGATTGATACGAATCCGAATGGATTGCAGTTGATGTTGATGGAACTGATTCTACAATCTGTTGACTGTCATCATATCCATTGTACTCATTCATTCTATCTTCATTTTGGATAGCATCCTGAAGCTCTCTGTGTAACATCGTGGATCGTGATAGTGGATAGTTTGTTGTTGATGTTGACGGGATTGCTATCTCTAGATTGTCAAACTTATCAGGATCTATCATCATATTTGCTGCTGTCAATGGTACTGTCGGTTCTTCAATTTCTAAACTGTTATAGAGTTCATCAGACTCAATCATCTGCATTCTCCTCTTATAAGCCATCTTAAGCTGCTTAGCATACCAAGTCTTTCTTGACATACGCCGTCGAAACTTCCTAGGAGGTTCGCAAATCGTAACTTTCCGTTGTATTTTTTCATTTGAAAAGGGTTGTTTATCTTCATTGTCATTATCTTGGAAACACCTACACACTCCTCTCAAGAGAGCTCTAAATCGCTCTATTTTGCTCACTGTTCCTCTATATACTAATTTTTTAATTTCCTTTTTTTCTTTTGTTATTGTTTGCTCGTACTTGCTCTTCGCTATACAGTTGTCTTCTCACGCATACGTCACTCTTCTTCGTTATATTTCTTGTTGTACCTTGAATACGTGTCGTATCAATGCTTCCTGCAAGCATATAACAATATGCAATATATTATATTTTCTTGTTAATCACAATACCTATTATCTATAAGTTTGACTATTATCTTTTGCAACCATCACAATTTTTTTCTCTTTCTTCTTTTTCTCTCACCTCTCCCTATATTACTTTATTTATATATAAAATATATAAATAAAATAACATAAATAAAATAAAACATATACATTTTTTTTATATCTTTCATTTATTTCCTTACCTCTTATTTTTCGCTGAAAATTTGTCAGCGATGTAATCTTTTATTCTTGACAGTCATGCGTTGAGTGAATCGCGCGCGTGTGATGTATAAGCTCAGTCTGATTTCTAAAAGCTCCAAAACCGAACTGTAGCAGGAACAAACGATACGCAGCTTTTAAAGGTCAGTGGTGCGCCGGTGCTGTTCGTGACCTTCGCAATGATTCCCCCTCCTGTCACCTTGACCTCTTCACGTGCCCATACTTCTCCCTCTTCCCATTGCCCTTTCTTTCCACCCTCTCCTTTTCGTCCCTTTTCACCACCGTTGTTGAAAATATTGCGATTAACACACCGAGAATTAGCGAAAACAAAGTAATCACTCGAAAATTGCCAGAATCGTGAAAATTTCCGATTGCGAATATTAACCATCCCGATCGATCGGATAATACATGGCTCCATTCGTACTGCAAAGTTTAAGTAATTCCGGACTGTGCCTAGCAAAACGCTTAAAAATTCACATATTCTACGATTAGTTCTCGGCACAACCTCGACTATTGTTCCTTCGCAGGTATAACGCTTCGCTGCGAATCTTGACGCGTATCCGCTCGATGAAGCATTTAAATTTAGACCTCGTTACGTCGTCACATCGTTTCATGACTTTCGAATATCGGCCACACTTGAAAGAGACAAGAAAGTATTACGTTGCCAGTGCCGATTATTCGATCATTCATTCGATCAGCAACAATCTCAGCACTAAATTGCACTACAAATTCAAGTTCATGAGCAGGTTCAAGTTCAATTTTTCTGTAAACACACTTGCCCGTTCACGTAGCGCGTTCTCTGACGTCACTATAAGTACGCTTTGACGTCAGAAGCTTACGGCACTATCACCGTGACAACGGAAAGTCGATCTCTTATTGGCTGGGCAACCTACGTAAGGCCTCCCGCCCCGTCACGTATACCAGGGCTGACAATTGGAGAACGTTCAAGAACCAGGGACAGCATACCTGGGCAAAATCAATACTTTCTAATATATACACGTTTATATGTAACATATATATATATATATATATATATATATATATATATGACAAATTATATGTAAATTTATTATGTAGATACGCCATCC